CTTTCTCTGGAGCTTCTCATGAAGTAAAGTCTGTCATTACAGGCTCTTATCTCTGTAATGTATTTAATTTTGATGTATTTATTAAGTGTTAATTAATGCACTATGGGAGTCCCCTTCAGCCCTCTGTATTAATTGATCCTCTTTTTTCCATATGTTTTGCCCATAGGGTTTTCTGCAGCCCTAGGGCAGCCAGCAATAACCCTTGTGCCTTTGCAATGGGGTGAGGGAAGGGGACCATGGGTTCCCTATTTATGTGATTTGCAAGAAGTGTTATCATTCCTCAAGGTACCAAATGTCTTTAAATGATATAAGTGCCTTGTAAAATCCCAAAGCAAGCTCATTTTCATTTCTCATGTAATAATCTCATATACAGTATACACACATTTTTTCATTAAAATGTATGAGTTGAATTTATTATTAGCTAGGTTACTGTTTTGTTTTTTTCCAATGTGGCAAAAAGTGTGCTATTTTATGGTTGAATGATTGAATGACATAATACCACCCCCACCCCGCAATGTCCGTCACTAAGTCCGGTAATTTTGTCAAGTGTTCGTCGCACAACATGGTGGGGCCTACCCCTGCCTTGTGCTTCAGGGGGTCACAGGATCCAGGGCGGCCTGGGGACTTAGAAGGGGGTCTGGCGCTGGCAGCAGCGAGTGACCTGGCCCCAGCCCACTCCGTTCCACCTCGCTGGCTCCCAGCATTGCTCGGGACAGGGGCTTTGGGGAAGAGGTGGAGTGGGGGCGGGGTGGCAAGAAGCGGGACGGAGCAAGATTGCTCGCTGCTGTCGGCGCTAGGCAGCCCGCTAACCCCCCAGGCCACCCTGGAGCCCGCGTCCGCCTGAAGCGCGTGGCCCCCCAAAGCGCGGGGCCCGGGGCGGTTGCCCCGGTCCGTCCTATGAATAGGACAGATCCACTTGGGCACCACCAAAAATTATACAAACCTGCTGCCCATGGTTACACTAGTTCTATTCTGTTCTAAATTATGATGTAGATTTGCTAGGTAGAATAGTTGCTGCATTCCTCCACAGATATGGCTGAACTGATCCCTACTCATTGCTTAATCTACCTCACAGGGGCATAATGAGGTTTAATTAGTTGCTTGTAAAGTACTTTGAGATATTTGGATGAAAAACATTAGAAGTGTGAGCTGCTTGAAGAGAAACTGCTCAATGTTATCGACAAACAGGAATGCTAATTCCAAGCAGGAAGTGTCCAAATGAATACAATGAAAACAGAAATATATAGCAAGGAGGCTAATTTAAGTTAGAATAAGTGCTCTGAACAAGATATCACAAAACAGCAATATTGCAAAACATTTGCCAAAATACAGTTCTTTCAACAAGGTGCTCTGCTTGATAACATGCATCACAAGCTTACGGAAAACGAGCTAAAAGGATGAGAAGGAAGTAAAACACAAGCATCTTTCCTGTCATTACAGGTAAAGTGCAGTGTAATAAGTGAGGAAAGTAACAAATACTTTCCCCATGGATTATATTTTCTAAATGGACAACCAACCTAATTCTCAATTACTGAGGGACAATCTCCACTCATTGATATATTTTGCTTTCCACAACCAAATCTCTGTACAACTTTTCCTGAGTGATGTACCTGAGTATTAGGATTCTAATATCTAAACTGTATTGTTAAATCTATTCACCTAAATTTGGGTTATTGCTGATTATGTACTCTATGTATCATATGACTTTTAAAAACTAACTTTATATTTGTGGGTAATCTAAGCCCTATACCCAGATGTAAAGACACTCTTTTCACAACCTATGTATTGTATATTTTTTTTAACATTAGCTTTAATAAAAATTTTAAATCTGTTAAAAAATTAAGAGAGCTACACAATTTCTTAAAAAAAAAATACTTTAAATATAACAAAAAGAATAAATCAAGAAGCTACATTCTTGAGTGCCTAATGATATAGCCTACGGCACAGCTCAACATGAGAATGCATAACAAAGTACAGAAATTTTTCTCCCCAAAATGTTTTTGTTAACAGTGGTTTAAAATAAAAGACATTTCAACACAGACAAGTGACAACTGATTACCTTTCTGACTCTTTTCATGGGACGAAGAAAAGAACCTATACGTTCTAATACTAAAAAGCTAAATCAGACAGAAGCAAACAGCACATAAATGGTGTTGATTAAAAATGGTCAGATACAAAGTTCAGTA